GAGTTTGATGGGTAAGGTTAGCAATCTAGGGTCATCTTGCTAATGACCCTCTTTTTATGCTATAAGTGGCTTTAACATTTTTATTTTTGAAAGGATTGTCTTCAGTCTGGAACATAATATCATTTCAGGACTTTCAAATTAACCAATCAGAAATGGACCTCCACTCATTAAAAGGTCAAGTTCTGGAATTATTTTTTTTTTTGGCTGTAACAGGCTATAACTTTGTTGTTATTTAATGGATTGACTCCATATTATAACAGAACATTCCTTATGATATAACATTGATAAATATTTAACTGAAATTGACATTGGCTCTTTAATGACCTTGACGTTGAATTAGGTAATTGTATTTTCAATGTTTTTTTCTTAAGTTAACAGTTACTAGGTAATAAAAATAGATTTTCTTCATATTTTCAAAAACATTTTAGACAATACCTTCTTAAAAGTTTTTAACTGACCTTAACCTTTGAATGACCTTGCAATGTCAAGGTATTATTATTAAATTTTGGTTTGTCATAATTTTGTTATTCTAATTTGGACAAAACAAGACTTGTAACCAAACAAACATATTGAATAATTTAGATGTGACATTGACTTCAAATTGCCCTTTGTGGCGGCATGGTCGAGTGGTTAACGCTTCGGACTAGTAATCTAATGATCACTAGCCTCATGGGTTCAAACCCTGACTGGGGCAAGTCGTTGTTTCCTTGAGCAAGAAACTTTACACTCATTGCTCAGTACTGGTTGGTTCCAGGAACGGATTCGAAAGTGTGTTTATAAGCTTATAGCTTCCTGCACAATCGAACTAAAAGAAATTCTGTATATAAATTGCCCTTGAATGTCAATGTCAAATTAATGAAATTTTCTTATGTTTTGATTTTGTAAGTGGCTATAACTTTGTTATTCATTAATTGATTATTTTTATATTGAGACACAACATCTTTTAGGTCAATGCCTTCATGTATATCTAATTGAAATTGACCTAGATTTTTTGACTTCGCTTTTATTGGCTGTAACTCTGTAATTATTCAATGGATTAATTCCATACTTGGACAAAACAATCTTTTGGACAAGACCTTTTAAAAGGTTTAACTGACCTTGAGCTCTAAATGACCTTGACCACCAAGGTCAAAGTATTGAATTTTGGTGGACGTGTCATTTTTGTGTTATTTATGCATGGATTTGATTCATATGTGTACAAAACAACACTTGTGATGACACAGACATGTGATATTGTGAATCAACTATTGTTTAGCAAATTCTCTAGTGATGTCTGTATGATTTCAATGATAGTGTTTATGTTTGGTATGCAAAACACTTGGCCGTTAAAATTATTAAAGAAAATTCATTCTTTTGAAGCATTCATGAAGCATCAATGATTACAATTTTTAAAATTGCTATTTTGATACCTTGTTTAGTCAGTTTTTAAAATCTCTTTGGAATTTTTACTGTTTTGACTGTTTCTTTTTTCTTATATTTTCTTTTTTCAATATTGATTGCTATTTCAAATTAACAATTTTAATAAATCATTTAAACTGATTATACTTAACTTATTGTTTTGTCAGAATTTCATGAAACTCTCAGGATGAAATTGTGACATTGTTTAGTCCTGTATTCACCATCACTGATAGTTCATCTGTGATGGAAAACTGATTCTTCATATTATAAGTAAATGAAATTAATAATGCTTAGCCATTGTTTAATAGAGGACTTCCAGCTTCTGCTTCTGTCAGTAATGTACTTTTAAAATTTATCAAACTTTCAAAGTTTTATTTTGAGGATTTAAAGAAATTTGGTTTTTCGATTTCAACTGAACAGCTTGACAAAAATACTGGTTTTTGATATTCGCGATAAACTGTTGTATATCAATGATAAATCTCCCTGAAATAAATCATATGACACAACATATTCAATATTCTTTTGTACTCAGTAATTCCGGCTTAAATATGACATGAACTGTTTAAAAATAGTTGCAAACGCTAACATCTGGCAGGAAATCCGACCTTTCAAGTGATCACCAACAGTATAATGTCATAACAATTGACCCGTCAGTGCTTTCAGTGCTTTGATATTAGATATACAGAGAAAAATAAGTTAAGATACATTTCTTATTTTTTTCACACTGTTAGTGTATATAATAAACTCTACATATTACAAAACAATAAATCACTGTTGTTTTTTTATATTGAACAAAGTTGATCAGTTAGATTTATTAATGAACTATATTAAGAATTATAGAGAAAACTTATACATGTATATTAGAAATGAAATGCGTATTTTCATTTTCCGTATTTACAATGTAAAAATTTATTCTTGACTGCAGTGACACTTATTTGCTTTCCGTATTTTCACTTGTGTCTTGCGGACTACTTTCTTCTAGAATCAGCCGGTATACAAAATTAAAGGGCAAGTCTTTTAAGTTGTAAAATGAGAAAAAAGTATTTTATAATACCATAACTCATGAAATATTAATATTCTTACCGCTCGATACAAATAAATTCTGTATTTATAGAAAAAAAACTTGAATATCCTCTATGTACTACTGACCAATTAAATATTTGTTGCATCATAATTTCAACATAACATCCTTTTCATCTGAAATCTATCGACTTTTTTAACCCTTTCCCCCATGAGCATATTGTGAAAAATGGCCATTTTCACTGAAAAGCCTCCTCTTACAAGTTCAAACTGCTATGAAACTATGAAAAATGCTTCAATAGTAATCAAACTTGGCACAAATGTTGACTGGACCATTGCCTTTGTAACGACATGCTCAGTCTTAAATTTCCTGTTACCATGGCAACGAGGGGACATCTCAAAATTACCAAAAATCACTATTTTGCCTCGATTTTTTTCATCAAAATTTATTTCAAAGTGCTGCAACTTCTCAAGGGATTGAGATAGAGTCAAAGGCTTTTCAGCGTTGGTTACACGTTACCTTATGATCGACCTGGCAATCCCCTGATGGGGATGGGGAGCGGCGCCGAAAAAGTGTTCACTTTTTTAAGAAAAATTTCTCAAACGAAAACTTGTGTTTGGAGCCCAAAAAGAGATGTTTTCACTATTTCAGGCCTTAAAAGGGGGGGTGGAAAGTGCGTTGTTTAGCGGCGTTTATATGAGGTAAAGGGTTAAAAGAAGTTTCACACAATTTATTACATTTTCCGTTTGTTTTTAATATATGCATATCCCCCTGTCTTTTGATATAAAATATTACTATTATTTAGATGTTTTTTTCAGTATACAAAAAGTAAGAGAAACAAACAAACAAACAAAACCAGAAAAAAAACAAGAAGACAAAAAAATCTGTTAACAAAATTAAAATTATTTTATACTGTCAGCTTATTCGTCAGAAGTTTAAAATTGTCCACCGGAAGGCGATAGTCGACTTTGCGATAACGTGATGGCGACAATACGATATTGCAATGACGACAGTGCGATAACGTGATGGATGATGACAATGCAATAATGCAACAGTGCGATGATGATAATGCGACAGTGTGATTGCGACAGTACGATAGTGCGTTGGCGACAACGCGATAGTATTTTTTCACTATCGTATTGCGCCATTGCATTATCGCACTGTCGGCATCGCGTTATCGCACTGTCGCTAACCCATTATCGCACTGCCACCATCGCACTATCGCATTATAGAACTGTCGCCATCTTACTATCGCATTGTCGTCATCGCACTGTCGTATTGTCGTCATCGCACTGCCGCACTGTCGTACTGTCGCCCTCTGGAATAGAAAGTACAACCACAATGGCCCTAACAGTATTCCGTAGAAAAGTGATATCTCTTATGCGTTGCATGCTACATGGAGAAAAGGCGGCGAAAGTAGCTTTAACGTCGACTTTGACGTATCACGTGCGGTACGACTCACGTAGTTGCTATTGCATTTATGTCATTATTGTGTTATTTGCTGATTTTTTTTATGAAATTTTGTAAAATTATTTCAGTTGTATGATTTAATAAAATATTATAATATCTGTTTCGCAACATTTTGATTCAGCTTTGAAACACGATTGTCACAGAATCTTTGGGACAACGCACGCATATGCAAAGAAAGATTTTATAAACCTGATACGTTTCAAAACCTATGACTGAGGATATTCTAGTAATATATTTGACAAGTATTTCATATTAAGTATTACTATGACATTTAACTCACAACCGGATACAACGTTGACCGTGTACAATTTATTTACCATTATCGTAAACATAGGAACACCATTTTTCAAATTATTATTCGCCAAATGCTACTGTGACATGGACTTTTGACTGAATGACCTCAAGATGTTATCATGTCACTTACTGGCCATTGTGAATGACATTACCAAGTTATATGGTAAGGATCGTACAATTTAACGAAGAGACGTATATACCGCCCTGTCATTCCATCAAGTAAGCTTCACGCTTTTCAATGAGAACAACAATACTATTTCAACACTTAAATCAGAGATCCTTTTGCGTGTCATGCTCTGGAGCTCGGGTGAAAAGAATAAACCTAAATAAATATCGATCTGAATATTAATCAATTTTCTCAATCTATGTGAAATCCAGGGTCACACGTTTGAAATGCATTAACGTAATATTTGTTTTAGAAAAAACGGCTTTAAATAAATTATAACGTCAGCATGTATATTGACCTTTCATAATCAGGTTATCAATATGACTGTTTTTATTCAGCATATTTTGACGAATCACTGAATAATATTACTTTACCGATATGTTGATATCAATGTTCTACACAGAACACATTTCAATGGTAGCATCCTTTAACTATATAAAAGACTCGAACGTCATTATAATTTTACGATTTCTAGACAGGCAAGTTATTTCAGCATTTTAAAATCATGTTTTGGTGGTTATCGTTTAGGAACATATAACAAAAGTACGCATTGACTAAATCTAGCTAGACAAATACAAATTGTGGTTACTAAAACAAAAATCTATGTATTGGAATTAAATCAATAGCAAATAAATGATGAAACATTCTTACATTCTACTTGTAATAGAGCTTGTATGGACTGGATCTGAAGACCTTTCCTCTGTGTAAATAAATTCTTCAACTGACAATTTACTGGACTTCTATCAACTTGATATGTTAGTTTAGGTAAACTTAGTTTCCTTGTATCAGCACTATCAGGTGTTCCATATTGTGTGGTCCATGTTGCTGTAGCTGTAGGATTACCATAATCAGATGAGGAACAATAAATTCTCTTTCCTGTTTGTCCTTCTAGGAATGGAAAACTAGCATTCATAATTCGAGGCTGTGATGGAGGCCCTACAAATATGTAAAATAACACATTGAACAATACGTTGATAATAGTTCAACAGCATTATAATGACCTATTTCCTGATCATATATACTTTTAACAGCAAAACAAAGTACATGTAATCTTCACGAAAGATTTGTTAAATTTTCATTTATATTTTATATAATTCAGTAAACATCTTTACTCATACATTGTCAATATATTAAATAAGAAGAATCAAACAGAATGAAATTCAGATTAACTATCCATAGGGACTGCATAAAAAGGTGTTTACTATTTTTAGGGCACTGGCTTCAATAATGGAACAAAATATGTAAATATATGCAGATTGATATAAGTGATTCTGTTTAAAGTGCCACATTTATAAATAATTAACAACAAATAAATAAATAATAAAAAAAAAATTTGGTTACTGGCAGTGCACTAAATATTTTTTGGGAAAAACATATTTTACTTCTTAACATTTTTAAACCTGTGTAACATCTTTATTTGTTTGTAAGTTTATTCATACTGTTACAATGTATGCATTTGTAAAAAATACCTACGGCAGTACATTGTTGTTAAGCTTACTCACCTATGTATTTCAATACAGAAATGGATACTTCTCCATTTTCCTGTTGTTCCTTTTCAATCAATATTTATGTATAAGAAATGGTGTCTATCCAAAGTCCAGTACAATGTCATAAAAAATTGTCATTTGTTTAAGCATTGATAGCGTTATTATGAATCAATTTTGCAACTAGGTTTGATATACAAATGAATTAGTTACTTTTTGAACTTGGATAAGCAAAATCTTTATGTGTCAAAATGAAAAATTATGTATAAGTGACATATGTAATAATCATCGAGCTCAGTGCTATTTGCTTTTACAAAGATGAGTAAATAAGCAAAAGCAAGTATATGAGCTTTTGCTTAATAAATATTTCACTGGAAAAAATATATTTGATCGTACCTATTTTCTTGGCTATTTACATTTTTCATCTACATGTTGCCAATGCTGGAGATTGCAAACACTTATCTAAATCATTATTTAAATGCTCAGAGCGGACAATTGTCATCAATAAGCAAAATAGCACATCTTTAATGAGTGTAACCCCTAGTTGAAATCATTTAACTGTCAAATAATTGATCTGTCTCACACCACTGCAGTCTGCATATGGGCCGGTAGGGGAAACGGACAAAAGCCCATCCCGGACAAAAGCCCTCCCGTCAAAAAATGACAAGGCGGACAAAAGCCCTCCCGTGAAAATGACAGGGCGGACAAAAGCCCTCCCGTGAAAATAACAGGGCAGACAAAAGCCCTCTCATGAAAATAACCATGCGACAAAAGCACTTCCGTGAAATAAACATGGCGGACAAAATCCATCCCGTAACAAAAATAAATATATATGTTTCAATGCACTCAACATATTGAAATTGTTACATATATTTGTTGTTGTTTTCAATTGGCCTAAGTATGTGTATGAGCTAAAACCACCTTTTATTCTGAATATACCTTCCTGAAATGTTCCACGAGGTAACTTTTTACACGAATGTCGTTAAAAACAATGTCACTTTTAAAAGTAATTGACTCAATACATGACACATTATAGATGTCTTTGACTTGTAAGTTATATAATTTAAATTTGAACTTCTTTTCATCATTTATTATTCTATTCATCTTAATTTCAAATAGGAGTAATTCTTCATATCTGCGTGAATAAATATGCACTTACAGATTTTAGCACTAATTATTCAGATGCCTCTCAGGAATGTGCTCAAGCTCATACAAACACGCTTATGCCAATGGAAAAAAAATAATCATGATTACAATTTTTATATGTTGAGTGAATTGAAAAGAAAATATAAACTATTCATCGTACAAATATGTGTTTCCAGCGGGAGGGCTTTTGTCCGCCCTATCATTTTCACGGGAGGGCTTTTGTCCGCCTTGTCATTTTCACGGGAGGGCTTTCGTCCGCCTTGTCACTTTTGGACGGGAGGGATTTTGTCCTACACTCGGGCAGATAGTGATTGCTATTTGCACTGTCACTTTTTTGGATAAAATATATTATTGACAAATTGATTTCTCTTTGATCTCTTGAAAGAGCGAAAACTTTGGAAGCATGACAAAACACTTGCACCACATTCACCTATTTAGGTTAAGGTTTCGGTTACACAGGACAACTGTTAACCCATTACTGCATGAGCAGTTTGTGAAAAATGGCTGTTAGCATTGAAAAGTCTCCCGTTACAAGTTCATATTGCTATAAAATTACAAAAACTGCTTCAATACTAATCAAACTTGGCACAAATATGGACTGGACCGTTGCTTTTGTAACAACATGCTCAGCCTAAATTTTCTGTTACCATGGCAACAAGGGGACATCTCAAAATTGCCAAAAATCACTATGTTGCGTTGATTCTTTCCATCATGATTGATTTTATTGTGCTGCAACTTCCCAATTGATTGAGACAGAGTCAAAGGCTTTTCAGCGTTGGTTACATGTTACCTTATCATCGATCTGGGGTCATTTTAGCCTCTCACAAGTCCAAAATTTTCTTGGCGATGAGAGGGACTTCCGCCCCCATTCAACTCCCCAAAAAATCCCCCTTCTGGCAACCCCCTGATGTATCTTTTGGATAGGGGGCCGTGCTGAAAAAGTGGCCGCTTTTTTAAACAACATTTCTCAAACAAAACAAGTGTTTGGGGCCTAAATAAAGCATTTTGTCACCATTTCAGACAACCAAAAGAGGGGTGAAAAAGGCGTTAAAAGGTGTGTATATCGCGTAATGGGTTAATCAATTGGTTATCAAGATTTCTTGAAATGTTATTTACACATCTTATCTGGAGCCATATTTAAAAGGCATTTAAAAGTTAATCATTTCATTGGAACAATACTCTTTAAATAAAGTTACAAAAAAAACCACAAAAATTTTGATTTTTTACATTGATTATTATGGGCTGTAACATCGACATTGGTTTCAACAAGACCAGTGTCTTATAATAGCTTTTTCTATAATAAGGTGCAATAATGTTGATTGCATTCACACTAAGCGGTAGTCCTTTTATGATTTACCATTAGAAAAACAAACGTTTCTTATATTGATAACTGGCACTATCAAATCATCTCAATCTACAAAAAGCCATTCAATGATAGTTTTCATATGTTCCCTAAAAAACTGTTTTCTACTATTTATAAACTGGTTGTAACTTTTATCATTTGTAGGTCTATACACAAATGAATAATCTTAGTTTCTAGATCAGATAACAGGATACAAACTTTAAATAAATTTAACAATTTTTACAAATTTAAATTCATTTAACAATTAATGAAACTATCAACAAAACTTCTATCATGTGAATTTAAGGACTTTTGACCTTGAATAAAATTACTTACAATATACAGTCATCTTTTCTTGAGCCTTCACTAAACTTTGTTCAGGTATTGCAGTTTCACAATAAATTGTTTTGTTGTTATCAGTTCTGTTGGCAGTAAATGTTACAATACTTGTAACAGATTTAAGATCATTATCATGACTTTGTTCTCTATTTTGCACATCAGTCAGTATTTGATTTCCCAGCTTCCATGTAACTATAGCGATAGGCCGTGTTTGAGATGAAGTGCACTGATATTTTATTTGATCTCCTTCTAACTTTTCTGTTGTCAGATCTGTGATTGTAGGAGTCATAGCTAAAACTGAAAATATGAGAAAACTCGTTAAATTATGCTAGCATAAGTAAAAACGTGTTTTACGTAATCAAAGAGAGGAAGAGCATTAGAAAAGGAGAAAAAAGGAAATTTTAAATATGGGATACGCAACAAAAATATATGTTAAAGTGAAAGTACTAATAGAATCCATGTCTGAATATCAAATATGATATTAAAGTTAATTTTCTTTTAAAATGTCTATGCATGGAGTTTTTTTATTTACAATTAGAACTTTGATTTATCACATGATGCCACTTTGTGTCAAAGTAATATTATATAACCAGTATGTTGTCTGAATATTCACTCTGTTAACATAATTTGCAAAAAGTTCATTTTTAAGGAGCTATTTGGTTCATTTGGAATTTACAGTCTAAATGATCGAGACTTTTTTCTTCTAAAAGCATTACGCAATTTAGATTATAACAAATAACAGTGGAAAACAAGATTGCATTTGTAAAAAATGCTATGCCACCGCATAAATACAACACTAAAATAGTAATGTAGGAACACATTTTTTTGTTTTGACCCAAGGGCTTTAATTTGAATAATCTTGCTAAAGGTTCACTACACAATGTTTACTGCAAAATGTCTCACCTCTAGCCTTTGTCAATTCGAGAAGGTGATTTTTTAAAGTTTTTACTATATACATGTAAGGAAAACCTATGACCCCGGGGCAGGGCTAGTTTTGACACTAGAGGCAAAATTTGAACAACTTTGGTAGAGTATCTATAGATCTTATCATATACCAAATATCAAAGCTCTAAGCCTTGTACCTTCAGACAATAAGATTTTTTAATTTTTTACTATATGTACATAGTAAAAATCAATGACCCCCGGGGGTGGGGCCAATTTTGACCCCAGGGCTATGATTTGTTCAATCTTGCTAGAGGTTCACTACACAATGTTTCACGCAAAATATCTAACCTCTAGCCTTTGTCAATTTAGAGAAGATGATTTTTTAAGTTTTTACTATATACATATGAGGAAAACCTATGACCCCCGGGGCTGGGCTAATTTTGACACTAGAGGCAAAATTTGAACAACTTTGGTAGAGTACCTATAGATAATAACACATACCAAATATCAAACCTCTAAGCCTGGTACCTTCAGACAAGAAGGTATTTTAAGTTTTTACTATATGTACATAGTGTAAAAATCAATGAGCCCCGGGCGGGGCCAATTTGGACACCAGGGATATAATTTGAACAATCTTATAAATTTATTCTTATAATTCCTTTTGGTTGCCATGGCAACCAGAATTCTGCATGGAATGAAATTCTTTGAACAACTTTGGAAGGCCTTCACCCAAGGAACAATCCTGCCAAGTTTGGTTAAAATTGGACTAGTGGTTTTTCACAAGAAGATTTTTTAAGTTCACTATATAATCTATATAACACACACACACAAACACACAAACAAACACACAGGTGAATCGCTATATGCCATCGCATCGCAGATGCTGCAGTGGCATAAAAACCATTAAAAGCATTGATTTTGCAATATTATACATGTACATAAAATAACTTGTATTGGTTATCTATTCAAAACATTCATATTATATAATCTACATGAATAATACTAAAAACAATTCATGTTTGTTATCAATAAAAACTTTGTTTGTGAGGCAATAAAAACAAAGATCCTGAAATTCATCAAAAATGCTATCTGAATTTAAAACAGTTTACTGTTTATCTAAACTTGTTTCATATGACTAAATGTTAAAGTAAAAACATGTACAGGTGTACATACTTTTGCTTAATACTGTGGTATATAATAGACAATGCAAACAGATTGAACAAAAGAAAGAACAGGATAACCTTTAACATAAAGAGTTATTCTGTTTGAAAAAACATCTGGATTTCCTGACTGTGAAGCTTTACAATAAACTTGTTTGTTATGGTCGGAGATAACTGGTGTAAATGTAAATGTAGACAGTTTGACAGTTTCTGATTTCTTCTTATCGTCTCCTATATACCAGATAATTGTGGCCGTAGGTCTGCTTTCACTTGCTGTACATGTCAATGTTTTATTTACATCATTCGTTACTTCTAGTGTTCCTGATGATATTGTGTTGCCATCCTTTAGTGTAACATTAGCTACCTTCACTGAAATACATATATAAAGATAAATTTCTCTAATGAACTTATTCTTATTTTGAAAGTTAAATGCAATGACAGAATGAAAGAAAAATGGCATGGATAATAATATTAACATTAATTGTTTAAGAATATTTTATCTAATGATAAATTAGGAATTGTTATTTTTGTTATCAATATTTTTTTTAATAAATTTTACAATTTTAATAACTTAAAGTGCAATAAGCAAATAATAAGCTGTCACATAATGAACCTAACTGTATTTATAGCATTAAGTAATTCAGTAACCCATACAGAAACAACTTTATATAAATGATGAAAGTTTGGTTTCGAAAAAATCATTTACATATTCAAGTGATAGAACCGTCATCATACATTAAATATGATAAACAAGATCAATAAACCTGCAAAATTGTACTCACCTTTTACATAAAGTGACACAATGTTTGAAGACACAGCTTGGCTTTCTGACTGTATATTAAATGCTTTACAGTAAACTTGTTTCTGATTATCAGAATATTCTGGAGTGAATATAAAGGAAGATGTCCTTGTTATTTCAGTTTTGCTTTTCTGGCCTCCAAAATACCAGATGATAGTTGCTGTTGGTCTGCTGACACTAGATGTACATGTCAATGTATGAGGTTCCCCACTGTTTACTTCTAATAGATTTGATGGAACTGAATTACCATCTTTCAATGTCACTGTTGAAACACGTACTGAAGCATGATGGGACACAAGAAGAATCAGTTTTAGACGTTATGCATTTTCTCAGAGCATGCCTTTTAAAGTATACTAGTATAATAACAGTGAATATATTTACCTTACCACATCAAACAGTTTTCAGAATTATATGAGGGTTGGTAAAAGCAAGCATTATATCTGAGTATTTGAAAAAGGAATAAAATAGAATTAAAAACTATAAAATAAAATTTAAATTCTGCAAAAAAAATGTGTGGGTACAGTAAAATTATGATTATACTAGTAAACAGTGATTAATAATACAATGAATGGAGTCAGTGTTATACTTATAGTTAACAGACAGGTACATTATATATATATATGTATAATTCATTTACAATGTAATCTTCAAGACTGCACTATAGTTTATTTATTACCATCCATACAGTGGATGAGCAGTTTGTACAAAGTATGTTACCATTAAATAATTTTTAAGGAAATGTATATGACAATATTAAATTGTATAGTTTAAATATGCTCAAGAAGCACTTATCTTAAAAACTTAAATTTGGGATGACTGGTGACACGTCCATCCATAAAGATGACATTTAAGAATATAGCTGTTTATTTTTAACTTCTCATTTGAAAGACCCAGTCAATGACCGTGAACAAGTTCAAGCTTATTAAATGTGAAGGTCAAATTAAGATCAAGTTCAATTAAATCATCTTTTAAATCTTATTGTGCACAAGTATGAAGCCAATACATTTTAAGAATTGCTTACAAAGTTGCAGCCAATTATAGCAAACAAGACATGCCCATTGCCAGCGCATTGAGCCCATTTGTCTTAATTCAAACCTGAACCTATAAATTTCAGATCAAGGAGTAAGATGTTTACATAGGTGAGTTGTACCTAACACATTTTCTTTATGCTCAAGGCAAAATCTTAATATTGCATCATCTTAGGTGACCTTGACCTCTGACCCATTGCATGACAAATAATCTCATGATGAACATTTGTGCCTTAAAAACTCAATTTATGTTATTTTACCTTTGACCTCCTGTGAACTTGACCTTCATTTTGTGGAAGCGACTCAACTCACCAAGGAGAAAATTTGAAGTTTGAAGGTGATACTTTAAGAAGTGACAAAGTTGTAGTGAAAAATATTTTACTGCACCAAACCTTTAATCTGAAATCTGGATGCAGACGTGGACGCACAGTGCCAGTAGGAAAGCTCTCCATATACTTTATTCAGTCAAGCTAAAATAAGGTATAGACAACTCAATTTACCAGACATTGTATTTCATAATATTTCAAATTCATGTATAAAAATAAATCTTTAAATATTCGTCATGGGAACTCTGACGGATGAATGGCAAAATAAAGACATTGGAAAAACTCAAGTTGTTACTTAAAATTAAAACGACAACCACATGCGTATGAGGACAGAAATGGGGCCAGAATATGGGAAGCAAGGGCAAAATAACACTATCAATGCAATGAGTGCACTTATTCTTAAAAATTAATAAAATAAAGTCATTTAACATATTTGATATTCACTTGTGGTTTCGTTTATTTGTTTTTTTTCTGTATTTCATTCTTTCAAAACACAAAAGAATAGAATCATAGTTATCACAGATTCACTCTTCATGATATAAACATGGCTTATAAACTCTGCAATACCAGCCTCCCTTTTTCAAATCCCTACCCTGGATACATTTGCATTAATTTGTAATAAAACAGCAATATAAAGCTGTTTGGACTAAATCAAAATATACTTTGTTTGAATGTAACCATTTTCTCATAATAAAATCGGTCAAGACAGAAAAGGCCAGGTTGCATTTGTATACCAAATATTGTGAGACTGATGTTACTGAAATTTTCTGCCATTGACCAAAAATTGTCAAACGTTTAACAAAGTCGGCAAACAGGAAATGGTTGAGCCACAGACCTGAAATTGAATCCCACGCACGCATTGGGACTACATGTTTATGCTGTATACCAAATATCAAGAGTTGCTTAGAAAACTGTTACGAAAATTTCCTACCATTGACAATTAATGTCCAAAATTTAACAAAGTTGGTAAACAGGAAGTGGATGTGCGACATACCTGAAATTAAATCCTACAGTATGGGACCACATGTTAGTGATGTTTACCAAATATCAAAAAGCTGTGATAAGTAGTTGCTGAGAAAACTGTTACAAAAATTTCCTACCATTGACCATTAATGTCGAAAATTTAACTAAATCAGTAAACAGGAAGTGTATGAGCAACAGACCTGAAATGCAATACAATAGTATGGGATCACATGTTTATGCTTTTTACCAAATATCAAGAGGCTTTTGTAAGTAGTTGCTGAGTTATGAAAATTTAATACCATTGACAATAATGTCGCAAAGTCAGCAAGCAGGAAGAGGATGAGCGACAGACCTGAAATCGAATCCCACGGTAGGGGACCACATGTTTATGCAATAAACCAAATATATACCAAATATTAGGAGGCTGTGATAAAAAGTTGCTGAGAAAAACTGTTACGAAATTATTTTCCCCGAACACCCACCTGCCTGCCGCCCGACATTCACCAAACTGTTAGTATAACCACAGTTTGCACCTGTGGAACCCAGCCAAATATACCATGATCATACATTAAGATGATGTAATAACCCAATTAGTGCTTCAATATTTGCACATGTTCAGAACAGATTTTTACCTACAATACTAGGTCATGAAATATCATAGAAACAAAAGAGTATGGTAGTAAATAAAGTACTGAATTAGCAATATTTATCGGACAGCTTTTTTGATGTTATTTTCTTTGAAATGGAAAGTATCTTTACAAGTCCAACAAAAGTGACCTTGGAATCGAAACAAAAATAAAACGCTATATGACAGGAATATATTTTGTATGGTAAATTGATTGTCCGGTAAATATGAAGGATCCCCGTATACAACTAGCAGAATTAGTACTGCTTCAGAAACTGGTCTTGCCATAATTCAAGTAAATTATGAGCTTAAAGTAAATATTCTGACTCTTACTTCTGTAGTTGTATCATTAATAGAAATAAAATTGAACTTATAATATTGAGCTGAATATATAACATATTATTATCTCAGTTTATATTAAAGTACTGATAAAGAACCAGATAATAAGTTAACAACCAAATCCGAAAAGTAGACCAGTCTGTAAACATGACAAGCAGTATATTTACCTGCAAATCTGACATCTACAGATGCAGGAGTAAAACGCTGATCACCAGTTATTGATATAGCACCACACTGAAACTTTACAGTAGTATCTGTATTGTCAATAAACTGTGTGTTTCTTGGTAGAGTTAATGTAGATGTATATATTTTCTCATAGTCAGTGCAACCACTAGTTCTATCTGTCAAAGGTGATGTTGTTGACCATTCTTGACGTGATCCACCAGTCTGTAATACAACAAAGGTTTAAATGAAATTAATTGCATAATTGACGTAATATTTAATTAAAGCTATGGCTAATAATGAAGTAAGTATATATGTTTTTTAAGTTGGTGTCTGGATCTGGATGGTTTATTATTCAATAAGTTTTACATACAATTCGTAAGTGATCAAAATTACCTTATTATAATACCATACAAAGTTTGGTGCAGGATATGCACATCCTGTACTACAGCTAAAAGTAACTGAAGTTTGAACTAAGTCTTGATTCTGGCTTGGCGGATTATCATACTGTAGTGATGGAGTAATTGCTGGAATGAAAAAATTAATTATGTAGTATCTTAAAAGACAATAAACATGTTGTTTAATTCTATAAAAAAAACAAGTTTGTTTAAAACCATAGATATACTGAAAGGATGCTTACAATATTTAGATTAAGCTACAAATTCTATTTAACAATTCTAACACGCTTCACGCTATCCCTCTATCAACCAAATTGAGCAATTGAATGCATATGCATAACAATTATAGGAACGAATCTTAACATAAAAAGTGCAACAATATATCTTTTGATCTTTAACAATTATTTACGCGTGTCGATAAATGCTGTAGCTTCATCAGATTATATAACTGACGTGACGTAAAATAAACAACGTGATGCAATAAAGCGGCAAAATTGAAGGTTACGTTCAAAGTCCTCGCGGCAGTTTCTTTTCTTGATCAGTTCAGTAATTACTGTTACATCGCAGTTTGATCACGTGAGACAGTTGTGAACAAAATGGCGTCTATACAAAAGAGTAACATTCAGAACAAGGCCCAGTTTGGCATGAGTTTAATAATAAACAACAAGCATAATGCAAGAACATGGCAAAGATACAAGAACTGATCTGGTTATCAATCAAGCCCATATTTCTTTGTAAAGCTAACTTGTAGTAAAGGTTAGATACTTTAAATAAATTAATTCTTGAAAACACTTTTATAATTGTGTTTTTGTGAAGATTTATTGATAAATCAGGGTTACAAGTTGTAATTCAATATTCTTTCAAAATCCGAATACTATCGGACGTTGAGAAGACATTATTCTTCTGGTCGTTTCGATTTTGGTCTTTTCATCTCATAGACGATTCGATCGTGGTCATTGCACCTATAAACGATATGTGTGACAAGACCTGACTGTTTATAGCCTAATAGTTGATTTAATGGGCTATATTCGGTGATCTCAATTATCACTTAAAGGCAGATAATAATAAGTAATGTTAAAATCAATATTTATGCAAACCATTTATATTATCAAAAAGTCGCTCAAATAGGCCAAAAATGTTTGTATTCTTGACAATTGATAAACAAATTGGTTGATTTGGCAAATATATAAATCAAAAATATGATTATTTTAAACTAGATTACTTGATTTCAATATACGAAATTAAACATTTTGTATCAGAAATGAAAACCCTTTAAGTTCCTATAGAAGGATGTGAATTATTGTGGAAAGAGTATGACAAATGTTTTTGAATACTTTGTTAATTCTTTTTTATGCAATTACACTACATGTATATTTTCCATAAAATATATTTTAAACTAGTTGTTCAAGTGCAAATCTCAAGCTCGCTGTCACATCTTACCTTGGGGTATGACCGTGTTGATCTTGTTTATCATATCTTGATTTTTGACCTAGGCAAACGAGTCTTGAGCGTGACATGCCGTCTCATGATATTGAACATTTGTGTCAGGTTATTTGAAATTCCACCAGCTAGTGATAGAGTTATGGTGCGGAAAAGCTGTTTGAGACAATTTTGTTGCAATTGATCTTAAAGTATAACCTTGTCCTTTGACCTAGCAGCACAGTTTTTGTGCGTGGCACACCATTTCAAAATGTTTATCATTTGTGCTAGGTAATTTGAAATTCCACCGGCTAGTGATATAGTTATGGTGCGGACAAGCTGCTTGAAACAATTATGTTGTATTTGACCTGAAAGTATAACTTGACCTTTAAGTTAGTCATACGACACGCCGTCTCATTATTGTGAACATTTGTAATAACCAATTTGAAATTCTGCCTACTATTGTCAGAGTAAGCACTCTGATAAGCATTATCTCGTCGTAAGTTAGATCTTGACGTTTGGCCTAGCCACACTGTTCTTGCGCACAAAACGCCATCACTTGATGTTGAACATGTGAACACGGTTCTTGTGCTTGACACACAATTTTAAGATATTGAACAATTGTGCTAGGTTATTTGAAATTCCACCGGCTAGTGATAGAGTTACGAGGCGGACAAGCTTTTGAGACAATTTTGTAACGTTTGAGCTTAAAGTATCAGCTTGACCTTTGAGCTAGTCATACGGTTCTTGCGCCAATACGCCGTCTCATTATTGTGAATATTTGAAATACTGCCTACCATTGACAGAGTAACCACCCTGACAAGTTTTATCCCACCGGTAATAAGATCTTGACCTTTGACCTAGCCTTACTTTTCTTGCGCACAAAACGCCATCACTTGATGTTGAACATGTGTCCCAGGGTATTTGAAATTCCACCGTCTAGTGATAAAGTTATAGTGTGGACAAGCTGTTACAAACCATTTTTGTTTGCATTAACCTTGGAGTGAAACCTTGACCTTTGAGCTAGCAACACACTTATTGCGCTTGACACACCGTCTCATTATTGTGAACATTTGTGTTAATTTATTTGAAATTCTTCTTACAAATTCTGCTCTCCACAATCAGGCTAGAAAGAAAGTCCAAAACAATCAGGGTTTTAAGTCTGAAACAAACAAAAAATAGTGACCTCCACATGCAGGACGTTAAAAATCCTGTAATCGAAGGAAAAAAGTACAATTTCATTTTTTTACATGTACATTCAATTTAACTTGTTTTATAAGCAACATGTTTGCATCTTAAACCAAAGATATGTTGAATTTGCATTGGATACTGTAAAAGTACAATAACGCAATCAAATCAATGGTTCGAAAATCGTAATTCTCTTTTGGACTTTATTTAGGATCTCCCTGTCATGTTACCCTTTTTGTAAGGTCTTTTTAAAGGCACAAATGAGGGTCTTGACTAAAGGCTTGGTTTGTGCAACATTTAAGTTCTACATTTTACCATGACATGTTACTTAATTAAGTAATGTACATTTTGTATGTATTGAAGTAAAATAAATAGATAGCTATTCGTCAGTCACATAATTGTAAAGGCTGACGCAATATACCATTTTCAAATTAAAAAAAAAGAAGAAGTGTTTAAGTACATGCATCTTTAAGACACATGCATACATTAGACGGCGCATGCACGCGTCGTCTAGTAGATATGCATTTGTCCGTATATCAATGGGGAAAATATTAGTCTTGATATTGTGCGGTTTTTTTTTGTTTTAACAAAATCAAATTGTTTTCAAATTTTCTAATAAAAATAGCTTTTCTGATATACAACATGTCACAGAGCTTTAAAGGATTAAAATAAACGTTTATCTGAAGTGATAGTGTCATGTTTGAATATCATATTCTTTTTATAATTATCTTATTTTACCTACCTCATAAATAACGTGCCAATGAGCCAGTCTATACAGTCGGCATCGTACTTGCGTCCACCTTTATTAAGCGACTTTTTTATTAAGCGGCCGCATAAAATCCCTCCCGATGATTTTTACTATTTAATTTAATTCCATTAAACGACTATTTTATATCGCGGCCAGCGGCCACTGAATGTCGGCCCAAATGTACAAAATTAAGTGTTAAAGTATCTATTAAACGGCCGTGACAAACAATCGTCCCTGCGGGCATTCTCACCTGTGTAATTAGCGAGTAGGTTAGATGTGTACAAGCAAACAAACAAATATTTTTCATGGTCAATGGTCACAAATAATTGTCGTTTAAAAACGAAATGAATAACAATTGCAATCGTTTCAAAATCGATTTTCCGATCGTAATATTTATTGTGACATATTTTGTCAGAGCAATAACGTATCACAACACCGCATTTGCATAGTTTTGTCATGTGCTCAGAGTGACCTCCCTTATCGAAAATGACGTCGGATCGAGCGAAAAAAAGACAGACAACTAATAAGACCGGATAAATTTTATGAGGAAATCGTGCATGAAATTGAGTCTGAGTAAATAGCAAATGTCATCGATTGTAGTCGAAATAAAATCGTGAAACGTAGTGGACTAAACATTACAGAACCGAGCCTTTCATTGCTGATGGTGTAGGTGCTCATCTGATGCTTTATAAAATACATGTAGTATCCCAATAAATATGACCCTTCGACAAAAAAAGACAAAAAATCCTAGATCTCTAAAAATCTTATTGAATTTGAAATCGGGGTAGTGTGAAAACTAATTATTAAAAATTAAGAAGTTTATTAAAAATTAAGAAGTTTAAAACTCATTGCATAAAAAAATTATCTGGAGCTCTTGCTGATGATTGTAAAGTATGTTCAGCAGGAGATGTGTATGAACATATTAAAAATATAAGACAACATGCTTTGTTTCATGGTCAAAATGACCTGTTGACAGTATTATGAGCGTAGATCACATTTGTACACAAATTTCTACTAAAAAACAAAAACAAACAATATTGATGACTATTTTTAAAAAAGGCATATTAAAACTGTAATACATACATAATATTGTATAGTTTTTGTTTTTATAAAAAAGATGTTATTATATCTATGACTTGTAATAAAATGTCTCGAATGTTCCAGAATTCTATTGAGAGACCACTTTATTAAGAGACCACTTTTTGGCAGTCCCTTGAGTGGCCTCTTAATACAATGTCGACTGTAGTGAGTGAGACTATAAAAATAATTGAAACACTAAATGCCGTTTTCCGGTTTATACCGATCGTTCTAAAACCCGTTGAGACCCGTCTACAATCTAATGACGGGCAGTAAAAAAGAGGTATCACTAAAATATGCAAAGGAAATTATTTTCTATTTGTAAAATAACAGACAGCTCGTCCTCAAAATCATTCGAACATTATGCAATTCGCACCAATATTTAAATGGACAAATTCTCGGCACATATTGTCTTGAATTTATTTTAAGTTTACCAATAATTTCAATTTTACTTGTTATCCAATTTATTTTGCTTCGACCAGACGTTTCAATCTTTGCCGCAACAGTCAAACATTTCAGAATTTCAGACACATACCAAGAACATGGATAAAAAATTAGTAAGTGCTTCGGATATTCAACTGTAATAGAGAACGATTTTCAACTCTGATTTTGTACATTACCTGTGACTGTTCACATCATTTGACGGCGTCTTGATGTGCAGCTTCTACATTTAACTTGTTTAACATTTATGATACTTTTAAGAGTTCGTAATGCTTTTAACATTTTCAACAATCATCAGAAAGATCTTTCTGCAATCCTGACTTCTTTTATTATTAAAAGATTGGTAAGTCTAGTTACAGAAAGT